CGGAAGACATATAAACCTTTCTGGAATCAGGAAATTCAAAATACTATATCTGAAAGGAATAAAGCAAGAACATTACTCGAAACTGCACGTTCAACAGAAGCAAAGATCCAATACAATAAAGCATGTGCCAGAGTAAAGCTTGCAGTTAATAAGGCTAAAAGAGATAAATGGACAGAAACTTGCTCCAACTTAGACCTTAGACAGAATGGAAATAAAGCATGGACTTTAGTTAAAAACCTCTCCGGAGAAAGTAGAAGGGTGAACCCAAAACCAGTGACAGACGGGAGTAAGACAATCACTGAAGACAAGAAGAAAGCTGAACATTTCAATCATTATTTTGCCTCTGTTAACAGAGCAGGCAAACGCACAGAATGTGATAGAATACAGCTATCTCGGTTAAAGAAACAAGAGAGAGCTCCAACAGCCAACAACTCCCTTTTTGAAGATGAGTTTAGTATGGATGAATTAGAACAAGCCCTGAAGAAAATAAAACCTAGAAAATCCCCAGGTCCAGATAAGATTCACAACGAAATGCTGCTACATCTTGGCCGGTCTGGCAGAGAAGTAGTTCTCAAGCTAATTAATAAGACATGGAGATCAGGCAAACTTCCAAAGGCATGGAGGAATGCATATATCGTCCCCATACTTAAAACAAATAAGCCTCCAGATGACCCAAAAAGTTATCGCCCGATATCCTTAACATCATGCTTGGGCAAAGTTGCCGAAAGAATGATAAACAGACGTTTGTATTGGTTCCTTGAGAGTTCTAGTGTTCTATGCCATGAACAGGCAGGCTTCAGAACTAACAGCTGTACAGAAGACCAGCTGTTCAGATTGACACAAAGAATACATGATGGCTTCCAGAATAAGAAACACACAGTGGCAGTCTTTGTCGACCTCCAGCAGGCCTATGACAGAGTATGGAGAAAAGGTCTCCTGATGAAGATGATGAGCATAGGAATACATGGCAGATTGTATAACTGGGTGAAATACTTTCTGATAGATAGAACAATCCAGACTAAGATGCACAACGCAATCTCTTCTAAAGAAGTCTTGGAGGAGGGCTTGCCACAAGGCTCATCATTGAGCTGTACACTGTTCCTAATCTTTATCAATGACCTGCCAGAAGAAATCAAGGCCGAAAAAGCCTTGTACGCTGATGACCTAGCAATATGGCAGAGTCATGAAAATGTGATAAGTGGAGCCCAAAGACTGAATGGAGACCTTAGAAGACTGCATGAGTACTGCCAAAGATGGAAACTCAAGATTAACTGTGCAAAGACGGTCTACACAATCTTTACCAAAAGCCATCAAGTAGCAAGAAAGAATATTAACCTGAGGATAGGCAAACACCAAGTGATGAAAGAAGAGCATCCCACATACCTTGGAGTCACACTTGACCGGCAGCTCAGCCTTAAGAACCATATTGAAAACGTCAGGAATAAAGCATTGAGGCGGTTACAGTTATTAAAGAGACTTGCAGGTACATCATGGGGATCAGACAAGGAAACTCTGAGGGGCTTATATCTAGGATATGTTCGCTCTGTGATGGAGTACAACAACTCACTGCTTACAACTTGTTCCAAAACTAACCTAGAGACTCTTGACAGAGTACAAAATAATGCCCTCCGATTAATCAGCGGAGCTATGCGGTCTACTCCAACTGCTGCATGTGAAATCCATACAAATGTGGAACCCCTCGGGTTGCGGAGAGAAAAAGCCACTTTAGAAATTTATGAAAGATGTATTAGAAAGAATCGTAACCATCCTAATAGACGCCTTATAGAAAGTTGGGAATACAAACAAAGAATAAAGCACAAATCGGTTTTGCACTGTGTACATGAGGTACAGGACAGATACCACCTCCCAGAAAGACGTCAGGGCATTCAGAATGTTGCAAGAAACTTACCACCACATGCTCGCTTTAAAACTCCAGAAGTCAGGTTGAAATTGGTAGACGAAGAAACTAAACAGTCCGATCCAATCACCCTTATGAACTCATCACTAAAGACCATTGATTCTTACCCTGAAGAATGGATACATGTTTATACTGATGGATCTGCATTCAAAGCTACCATTAAAGCAGGTTATGGAATCTACATAGGTTATCCCGATGGATCTGTTGAAGAGATTTTTGATGCATGCGGGGAATTCTGCTCAAATTATGAAGCTGAAATAATCGCACTGGAAACAGCAGTATACCACCTAAAGACTGTAATGGATGTATATCCTTCAAAGGCCCAAAATATTGTCATCTTCACAGATTCAATGTCTGCCCTCCAAGCTCTGGAGGGCAGTGAACGCTGCAGAACTGACACAGCTAAGATAATTCTAGATGCTGATCAGCTCATTACCTCATACAACATCAGAATAGTGATGCAGTGGATTCCAGGCCACTCCGGCACACCAGGTAATGACAGAGCTGACAGACTGGCAAAGAAAGGAGCAACACAAGAACAACCACATACAGCGACAACCCTGCAGACAGCAAAAACACTTATAAAAGCTATAAACAAAGAGACTTGGCTGAACAGATGGGCCATGGGAGATACTGGAAGAGAGGTGTATAGACACATGGCTAGCCCTGATCCTAATGACAACATTAACCATTTAACAAGAAGGGACCAGGCCACCATCTTCAGACTCAGAACACAACATGCTCCACTCAATGGACACCTAAACAGAATACAGCCACAACACTCCCCAGAGTGCCAGCTATGTGACTACCCCTACGAAACTGTTGACCATCATCTCTTTGAGTGCCCAAAACTCAGCGAGACTAGAAGGATGCTACTCCCTCCGAGACCAGACAGGTGGAACACCTTGTACGGAGGAAAAGAACAGCTTGTGAAAACATGTAAATTCCACTACATGGCATTGGGCCAGAGGGCGAAAGCTCATGCGCCGCTGGATCAATAACAACAACAACAACAACAACAACAACCTTCGCTGAATTCGACAATGTGAAAACTGAGTTTTATAATGTGTAATTAACAGTATTGGTGTCCTGTGTGTTTTTTTAACACTGCAGTTGTAAAGTAGCAGTTTTGTTGTTACAACTAACAGCATTTCATTAATAACAACTTGATGAATGTATAAACTTTTTAACAGTGTATAAGAAACTACAGTAAAACCTTGTTAACACAAATTCATGCTAACTGAGAACTCAGATTATTACATCTTTGCAGGGACCAACATTTTCTTCATGTTAACCCATTATTCTTCTTAAGCAAGTTCATGTTAACAAGGTTTTATTGTTTCATCTGTGTATTATGAAACATACTGGCTATTATCTTTCAAACACAAAACTTGAAAAAAAGAATTGTCTTGTTTTGACATTGTTTACATCTGGATCACATTCAAAGAGGCTTATTTTGAATATGCATTAGCTATAGGGTGAGTGGGGAGAGAGATCAGGATGGTGTGCAAAGTAGTTTACCTTGAAACATTGCTTATACTGTGTTTCAATGATGACCAAATGATCAGACTTCTCCTATGCCTATAACAGAACAGTCTATAAGCTTTCACTCTGGACCATTATTTATCTGCAGATAAATGTTCTAGTATTTTGTATACAGTATGTTTAAAACAAGGTGTTCAAATATGTTAGAGTAATCTGAACTTAGGGGCATGATAGCTGAAGTGCTGATATGTATACATTGCAGTGATAAAGTTTCTTATCCTAATAACCTAATTGTTGAACAGGGTTTCTGGGACTTGTGCCTTGGGGATTCACATCTGAATGGTGGCATTTTGTGTCAACGGGCATTTATCGCTGATTGTGCAGTCCTGGTGGGGTTAAACATCACTCATCCCTTTTCCTTTCTGATAGGGAGTCTGATACCCAGAAATTGACAGAAATGTTATCAATTTAGTGGAGAAAATTAACCGAGATTTTACCAAGCTGGTGACAATCACTCACAATTTCTACATTGTGAATAATATTTGTAATGATAACTGTATAAATGCTATACCGTGTTTCCCCCCCCCCCCCCCCTGTGGGTTCCGGGGCCCCAATTTTGGTTGGAAACAAGAATATTTCCACTGCCTCCCTGATAAGCATGTCATAAAATTTGACTTATTAGGGTTTTTCTTTGAAGTTGGAGTGCATCTGTGTTAGAGGCAAGGAATCAAAGTTTGTATGCAAGAAAGCCAGATCTGTAAAATTGATATGCACGCAAAACTCAATACTGGAACAAGACTAAACTCCAGAGGAGGATAAACAGCCAGAACTTTGTGCCAGAGTTTACAGTTGTTGTACATGAAGAAGAATACCATGCTTTTACCATTGTTTGAATCTAAAGTAAATGAGGTAGCCCTAGCCTATAGATTGGAACAGAAAATGTTGTTTGAATGAAATGCTGCTGACATGGTATTGCCATCATCCATCACCTGCCAGTTTGCCCATTAAAAACAATTTGGCTAGGAACATATATTTAGGGCATCATGAGATATAGAAACTAGTCATTCAAATTTGATTTTATATACATATAGTCAGAGGCTTTTGTTTTCTAGAAAAAGTACCAATACTCACCAAAAAGTGTCTCAAAAAGTGCTGGTAATCACACAAAAATGTCTTTAAAAGGGCTGGTATTCACCACACAGTGTTTTACAAGTACTGGTATTCAGCAGAGTGTTTTAAAAGTGCTGGTAATCACCACTAGGTATTTTTTTAAAGTGCTGATACTCACCACAAATTGTCTTTAAAAAAATGCCAGTATTGCTACAAAGTTCTTTAAAAGTACTAGTACTCTCCAGAGAATGTCTTTAAAAAGTGCTGGTGCTCACCACAAATTGTTTTTAAAGGGGCTGGTAATCACCAGAAAGTTCTTCAAAAGTCTGGTGGTCACCACATAGCGTCTATTACAGTAGCCTAAAAAAAAAACTGCATATAGTTGCATTTACTAATATACTTTGATGCTGCATTAACATATTGTGATAAAGAGCTATTTTTTTTTCTGTAATTAATTATTAACTATATAAATTTGTTTCTGTTTCAGTTCCTACTTCAGATGAAATAAATATGACACCAGAGTCATCTCCCGAGTAAGGATTAATTTTTATTGCGTTTCTGTTCCAGTGTCATTTAACGAAACAAAACATTTAGTTGTAGAAGCTGCTGTATAATTCATTATAATGTGGTGTTTCTGTTATAGTATATTTGTAACAAACCACTGTGTTTTATTGTTGGAGAGCCAGTTGTGTTGTCTGCTATAGTGTAAATATGGTGTTTAATAGTTAGAGAGAGGCAGTTGTCTAGTCTGTCGCCACAACAAGGACAAAAATTATTCCAGTGAATTTAAGCAAGATCTCACTAAATGTTACATGCAAATTAATTTCAGATTGGCCAAGAGGTCATGGTTTGGTGGTCTTATGGGAATGGAGCAAGAACATCACTTTGTCATGGTCAGAGAAAAGAGTTTCTCTCAAGTCAAAGCTGACCTTGTCCATGCATTCCTCTCAGTAAGTTTCTCCACCCATTATAAACATTACAAAATAATATAACAAGATAAGAAGAGTAATATAACAAGATGCATACACATGTCGTAATTGTAACAGACTCGGAAAGCATGCTGAGAAAGGTGAAGACAGGGATGCTACGAGCAGAGTGGCAAGCTTCACTGGGAAGGTCACGGGTAGTGAGCGTACATAAAATCTTTTCTACAGGCTATGCCGGTGTAGTGGCTAATGAACAGGCAGACAGATTAGCTGGATCTGCACCATTAGGTGGTGAACTGATACATGACAAGGCAGATGTGGTCAAGACCCTTTTGAAACAAGCAACAAAATCAGTAGAGAAACAAGATTATTATGGCCTGGAGAGAATGAGGCACCTGGGTGTAACCAGAGGGACTGGCTGGCTCACTACACTCAGAGGAAAGGTAAGACGGACATATAACCAGATTGTGACTGGTACCATCAGTATTGGAACTCAGCCTTGGCTGCTGAAGGTGAGGACAGAGCATGCATGGTAATGCCCCAAGTGCTGTTATGTCAATTCTTGACTCAACTCAACTACAAAATAATTACTTACATGTAAGTGCCAGTTGACTTACATCAGTCAAACGTTGAGACAGCTTGGAAACAGAGTGGCAGAGCACATACCCAAATGGCTACATACACAGCTCAGTGATCCTTCTAGGGTGTCGAGACCAGTCAAGAGGAAAGAACCCGCCTCTTTCCATAGGACGTCATCTACTTAATTCCGGACACATAATTGACACAGACAGTGCTTTCCGTGTTGTTTACCACACTAAAAACAGGAGACTTTTGAGAATCACCAAAGCTTTAACAATAAAAATCAGCAACCCCCTCCTTTGTAAGCAGACAGAATTTATCGTAAATTTGAAGTTACCCTGGTAAGTCATGTGACTGCGGTGAGCTTCGGACAGCTATGAAACAGACACTATGTATCGGAAGAAACTATTCGCATTTCAGTTGAATTTATTCAGTTTTGTGCTTTATTTTATGTTGATGTAACTCTGTAGTAACACAGATACAGCGAAATATGCCTGGCAGTAAATTGTGTAATGTATTTTTTGTATCCGCATTATTTAAATTCATTATGGGAAAACATTGTTTTAAAATAATTACTGTTTTATATGAATTGACATTTATGTGGTGAATTCTAGCCTCATGACAGTTGCCTAAGCTACACATGAAGACAAATGTCTCTGAATTGAGAGGAGAATACAGACGTGGTGGTGGCTCATCTATGTTTTCTAGAAATGTCCGATTTCAAGTAGATATAAGTCCAGCTCCAGGGGAACGAGACACATCGTCTGCTTCAACATTCTGTTTAACTTTCACTTTAGTTTCAGGTATAGATTTTTTTAAAAATGTTTTAATGGAAGTTAATACTGCTTATATCATCCTCCCCATCATCAATGTTTGCCCTTAAATAGGTGGTTGATACTTTGTGTTTTCATTTTACAGCTAGGTCATGATATCTGCACCTTTTAGCAGGACATATCCAATTTCAGCTAACTTTTTAGGACATGCTTGTTAGGAGCAGTAGGTTACCCCCTCCCCTCACCCCAACCCTCATCCCACCCCCACCACACTCCCCACCACCCCCCCCCCCCAATTGTGAACTGAAACCCACATGCGGATGCTCCTTAGATCAGAAATTAAAATGACTTTATACTTATGTACAGAAAAATTATTTATTTTTTCACCCTTCTTGAATTCATCCCATTTAATCTTATCTTTTTCCTCAGGCATTTGTTTTCGAATACATTCAACTTATGCTCAGTGTTTTGAGTAGTTCTCCAACTTTCACTAGAAAATGTTAAAAATGAAAAAACACTGGAAATGAAAATGCAGGGAAATAATTTTGGCAATAAAATGTATCGCAAATTGTTTTTTTTTTTTTTTTTTTCATTAGTTCAAACTGAGCTAGCTAGAAAAGAAAAGGAAAAGCAAGGAGGAAGACGATTAAAAGAAATGTGGTTAAGACAATAAGTAGTTCCCCAAGGAGCTGCAAAAAAACAGATTAGGTAAAGGGAAGACAAGGGTTCTTCTCATGCAGGGGCCATGACATATGACTTGTGACAAGATGATGGATACATATATCATCTTCTTTTTCCTAGGTATATCATCTTCTTTTTCACACTCATGAGCTGTAAACTCAGGCGGACAGTTCTGGTTGTTCGTCCACTTCTGGACTGTAGTCCCATTCCAGAATCTGAGTGTTGTGTGTGCATCCATCTTTAAGATCTGACTCATTTGTATACAGATTGTTGGTTCTCTGCAGATCTCTGACCTCAAAGAAAGCTCCCAGTGAGTTGACTCTTATGACATTCTTTTTTGGTAGGCTGTTGATCTATTCTTGTTTACCCTACAATACAGCCCCAGAACCGGCATAGGGAGATATGTATATAATAAGTTAGGCAATAGCAGTGACAACATATGAAGGTGTAGACAATGCCTAATTGAAACACTGTTCAAATAATCATTAATTTAAGTTTGTATTATTCTTATTCTAATTCTCTTTTTTTTTTTTATCTGGCTATTATTCTAAATTTTGTCTGTTATCTGTAGGTCCATCACGACGATTCAGGCGAGTTTGTGAACATCTTCAGGCCCTGATGTCATCACCAAGGGGAGAAAATCACAGAAAGATCAGTACTGATAGCACTGTTTCATATTGCTCTGAACTGGTTCCTGCGTCGTACGGCTCAGCAGCAAAAGAAAATGGAGATGCAGATGTAAGTTACCTATAAGATTCTATTGATTTCAAAATATTTCCAGTCTTTCATTATTTATAATTCATAAATATATTACATTACTTTAATAATTTACTTTAGGGAACTATGAGGTCTCGAGGCAATGGTGTCCACCTTAAGTGCTAGAGGTTCCGGGTTAATCAGGGCTGGGATTTTTTCATGTGGACATGGACTTCTAGTAATTCCCCCAGGTCTCTGGGTAGTCAGATCAGATGCCCGTGTGCACGTAAAAAAATCCCTTGGCAGTTAGAAATCGAAAGAGTAGCCTAACGGCGCTGCCCGGGCAAAATTTGGAGTTTAAAATCTACTTAAAGTATTTCAGGATTCTCGCCAGTGCTACAGAGCCTGTGCACTGTGTTCAACTTCTTTAGATTCAGATTTGAGTAAGAAGACGAACGGAGCACGTAGGGGATACTACCCATGTGCCATGATGATGATCTGAAAGTTCTGGTTCTTCTTGTTTATGTTCACCAACTGTAAACTCTGGTGGAGATTTCTGGTTGATCGTTAACTTCTGGAGATCAGTTTAGTTCCAGGACTTGAATTTTGAGTGCACATTCATTTTACAGATCTGGTTTACTTGTAGGTAGACTGCCGGTTCCTCGCCACTTGGGCAGTTTGCTCTGACTCTGAAAAGTCACTTGTTAGGGAGGCAGTTAGTCTATTCCCCTACACTCCCCCCTTCCCCCCCCCCCAACTTGGGGTCCCGAAACCCACACAAAGATACTGTTAAAATGAAAGCCAGAGTAATATTAATTACATAGTATGCGTATAATTATATATTCATCTCACTGCAAAATAAAAATATGATTTAGCAAATACTGAAAAGACAGAATCATTATGGAAAGACAAATATGTTAAAGATAACAATAACAGTTCAAGGAGAACCCATGCAGGAGACCCAAAAAATAGAATTAAAGTACCAGAACAGTTTAACTTTTCAGGGAGTAATTTTAATTGTCAAAGATATACAAAGAAGTTATGAGGCTCCAGTTTTATTTTGGCTTGTTTATTACTTTTATTGTAAGTTTGCTTGAGAGTAAAGACTCACTTTTGTCTCATAATTTTCTCAGAACCATGATCGAGAAAGAAAGCCACCACTACCTCCAAGGAACAGGGACATGACCAAACCCACCAGCAGGAAAGCACTAGCAGAAAACTCCAATCGTGACAAAGTCTGATGTGTGCCATTGTAAAGAAATTATGGTGTCTGTGTGCTTTAACTAATAATTGTTGACACTGCAGGGCCAGTATCACACAATGTTGGAATGTGTTTTCAAAACAATAGCAAAACACAATGAAAACAGTGGTATGTTTGATAGAATTCAAAAGTGAGAAGAAAATGAAAATATATTTGCTTGTTTTAAAAATGACAGAACAGTTACCGAAGATATTTGAGACAACTTAAAGAAATAGCATTGAGTATATGAACATTTGTGGCTGCATTAAGAATGAGGTCAACAAATGTAAAGAAAACATTAATATATTTGAATACAAAGCATTTTGTAGATGCTGTCGTTTATAATCGACTGCACCTCATGATTTATATATAAAATTAAGTATGCTCATGTTGACAGTTTGATTTGATTTTATTATTCTTTTGTACTGAGAGTTTAGTATATTGTTCTGTTGCGTCCAGTACAGTAGACTTTGCAGCATTCACTTATTGCTACTCTGTGGCTTTTGATTAGATTTGTGCAGTTTTCACATGTAAACCAGGATAACTATGTACATCATTCCTTGTTGCAGACTTTGTATATTCTGCAAATTAATATCAGATGGCAATGTCCTAATGAAAAAAGTCTAATGATTCAATATATGATGTATCATATCATATCAAATGTTAGAATTAGTTTCTTTATTTCTTGTAATAACATTCACTAAGCTCTTTATTTACATTTTTTTTTAAATACATTTTAAAGATGCTTACAGTGTTGTTTATGGTAGTGAGACTTAATATCAGTTGCTGTATGGAATGTTTATTTGCATCATGTTTTTTTCAAAAGACCATGGCAGAATTATGTATGTAAGATCCTGGTTATAAGTTCTTCTTCTTCTTCTTCATTTTATTTTTCTTCTTTTTCTTCTTCTTCTTCATCTTCTTCTTCTTCTTCTCCTCCTTCTTCTTCTTCTTCATCTTCTTCTTCTTCTTCTCCTCCTTCTTCTTCTTCTTTGTCTTCTGCATTAATTCTTAAAGGGTGTATGGTAGTTACAGGCAAACAGCAATATCTGCACCTTTCAATCAAAACATCCAATTTAAGAATTTAAGATAAACCCCTAATCAGTCACTTTTTACCACATGCTTGTTGCAGGCCAGTGATTTTTATCCCCCCCCCCCCCCCCCAAACCATCAATTACCCCCCCCCCCCCCCCCCCCCCCCCCCAATGTTCTGGAATCCACAAATGGAAATTATCCGAGGTAACTGGGTATTTTTTTTTAAGTAATGGATAGTGAATTAGTGAGCCAAAGAAGTTCAGATGTTATGTATATTGGTCAGAAATGATTAATTTAGTGATTGGGATAAGCTTAGTTAAATGTAATCACACACAGGAAAGTTGGAATCTCCTTTTATGGAGTTAGTTATCAGTACTTGCAGGGGCTGGCTTTGTGGATGCACAAGATGTTTCATTAATCAACACAAAACAGGCAACATCGGTTGTTTTATGCTAGGGGAGCTATTGATGAGATTGCAGCCTCTGTGGATCTGTCTGGTGTGCCGTGATAATGTAGTTTTCCTATTTAATCACATGCATAGTGAGTTACTTGGTACCATTTAAATTTTCAGTTAATGGGACCTAACTGAAACCATTGAAGTTTATAATGCCGTCCAAGTATGGAACAAATTCTTTTTATTATTTTAAATCCCTATCCTGGCTGTTGTCAGGGGCCCTAATATAGCCTCACGGTTTGAATGGATCTTCTGGGACTTGTGCCCAGGAATATTCTCATCCAAATGGTGGCACTTTGAGTCACTAGGTGTTTATCCCTCTTCGTGTTGTCATGGTGGGGTTGAACATCACTCATGGTGTTGTCATGGTGGGGTTGAACATCACTCATCCATTGACACCAAGGAAATCAATCACTTATATCAGCAGCAGGCTGTTTGAGTAAGGTGGATGCCCGGCTCTCTAGCATAGTTGGCTAAACCGGATTGCACGGTGACCGGGTGACAAACTCCTTGTGGTCCAGGTTCAATCCCGGGGGTAGGCAGAAAAACCACATTTCTCCCAGATTTACGGTATTTACAATGGAATCAAGGCCAAAAAGTTGCGATATCCATAATACCGAGCCTAAGGGTTAACAACTCATGGCTTCTGGATACTAAAACAAACATTAAGGTGGATAATTACATGTGGCCCCATGTATACACAAAGAACAGCAAATCACACAAAATATGATTGCATGGGCAGAAAACTGGTGAATGATCAGGAGTCGTGATGAGGGAGAATTTATGTGAAGGATCTGCTACATGATGATGATGATGATGACATGGTACTTTTTTTTTTTTTTTGCTTAGAAGAGGTAAACAATTTCTCTGTTATATTGAAGTATTTTTTTTCCTATTTTTAGATGAATAATTAGTTTATAAGTGTAACCATTGTCTCACAAAATGATACCTCATGAGTAAACCTTTTTAATGAAACAAATAAACCATTTTTGGATGTTTTGTATACAGATTTGATAAACATCTATTTTGCTTTTCAAACAAGGGACTTTCTAGATTCCCCACCCCCAGATTCTGATTATCATACAAAGAGTACATACATTGTGTTTATTAATATTGATATAAAATATTTTGGGGTATGTGCAATAGTTGTAGAACAAAATGTATTTATAAATCTGCATATTTTCCTTCTAGTCACACTGATGTTATTTGTTTTATAAAGTTTACTTAAATCTTTCATATCACTTAGAATGTAACAATTTTATTTTATTTGCATGAAATTTATCATTACATTTCCTTATTATTACAGGCTATTTTCATTCTAGGTGGCCACAGTACTTATGCAAATTTCACTTGTTAAATTCATTCTGTGGTATAATTTGTTTTGGAACATCTCATTTTATGTAAGTTACCATGTGTTTTCATAAGTATTTTTTAATGTGTGGTATCATGTTCAGTATTATATTATATTTCCTAAAAATATTTTCTTCAAGTACTGCAGAAGTAGTGATGCTTCTATTATAACACTTGAAACTGTAGACCAGAGCTTTCCTAACTTGTCATGTTGGTAACTAAGTATTTAAACCAGTGGTCTCCAACTTTTTCCTAGTGGCACCCCCTTGAGTTCATGGTAAGACTTCCACCCCTCCCCCCCTCCCCCCTCTCCCCCTGGTTGGAGACAACTGGTTTAGACAAACATAATTCTGTGACAGGTCATTCACTCTACTAGCAAACCAAAGGTTAAATTGACCTCTTATAAAGATATGGACACTTACATAAATTATCTTCATTTGACGCACTTTTGCACAGCAACCAACACACTAAAGTGTCATGACACACAGTTTAGAAAGCTCTGCTGTAGACTATCAATTGTAATTTAACATGTTAAATTAACTCACAATTTTTACTTTTTTTTCCGAACATTCTAATGAATCATTCAGTTTACAACAAATGTATGTTTTTATCACCATTCCTTCATTTGTTTAGCCTTCTTTGGTCTTTAGAAACCCATTTCACTTGATATAGCAGCAGAATACTGAGAATCTGTTGTAAATACATACTCTGTACCATATCACCTCTGCTTATTTTCAGATTGTCTTGGTTTTAATTAAAATATTTATTTTGTTTTAAATGTGACCAGAACAACAAAAACATTGAAATGTATTGTTACAGGTACAATCACTGTGTAATAAAATGAGAAAATTTAAAATGTATGCTAGTAACAAATAATATTCATTGTTCAAGTTTTCAGAATAAGTTTCTATCATGAGACAAGATGAAACCATATTTGTTTCAGATTTACAAGAAAGTATCCAG